GCTGAACTAAACAATTATACACGCATTTAGCAGCTTTTAGAGTAAGGTAGGGTCGTATGCGTGACAGCAGGCCGAGACGTTTTCTTACATAGTACATGTACCAATTTTATCAGCTCTGTGTTACAAAAAGTGAACATGTATTATGGTTACGCAAACCGAATTAAGCATGAAGAAGCAGAGCAAATAGAGAAAATTGAGCAGGTAGCCGCCATCTATACATTATCCTCCCGTATGGCATTCTCTGTCAGTTTTATAGTAAGTCAAAGAGAGTCACATCACAGGATACCAGTGCGTATTTTTGTTGCAAAGTAGCTTGGTTTTGTTACAATGTACATGTATCTGGTACATGTGTGACCTCAAGGTAAAATCACATACAGTAAAATCAGCCATACTACACCACAAGATACAGTGTACGAAGTGGGACATCCAAAACAAAGGAAAGCCAGCCTTGACTTATGACTTTCTTTGTTTTGGATTTCCCATTGCATAACATGTGGCCCAATATGATTGATTTTGTACCAAGTTACCAAATCATGTAAAGGGCCTACTGTGCAAAATACAGGTAAATCATCAACAAACTGGACATCTTGACATACTGTGGATTGTACATGCAGCACAAACATTGACATGTTCTGAGTACATCAATAGGCACTGTTTTATATTCATTTGTAATACAGGAACTGTAAAAGTTTCATGATGCACCTATCATCAGCCATCCCTGAAAGGGAGGAGTCCCAGGCAAGGGAGGGGGGGCCTCTGCAAGGAGCCCTTCCAAAGTTCTTAATTCAAACCTTCCCCCTCCCTGCCACCACCACCACAACCACCACCAATGACAACAATAATGTCAAATAACAGTAAACTTGAAAGCACAATATAGAATACATAAAGGCTCTGAGAAAACAACACTTTGTCTTTAAGAATTTGGCAACTGCTCACTCAATTAATTCCATATTCAAGTGCTTAACTGCTTAATTATTCAGAACCTCTTCTAAACCACACACAAAAAAGATCTTTTGTGAAGAAGAATACTTGAGCTTGCAAATTTAAAAAAAATAGACTACTCCAGAGCCCATTAAAGGTGGGATCACTTCCACTTTTAGATATTTCACATATTAATCTGTATGTTTCTGTACCATCAAAATCTTTTTTTTTTTTTTTGAGACTCCAAATGTTTTTCCTGACTTACAGTACTGCTCAGAACTAAGCAGACATCGCACGCAGGATTAACTTTCTCTCCTCACTTGCCTGATGGGCAATAGCCCAGGTAAGCTGTCCTCCAACTAAATTTTTGATAACGATTGACACGAGTAAATTTTAGGCACATGAGTAATCAAGTGTTTAGCGTAACTTTGACAAAAATTACAATTTAAAGTGTTGATTTGCTGATTGCTTGACACGCAACCCACAGTTCGAAAGTGGTTTCCTAGCACATGATCAAAATTTGCCCCAATCAAATTTCTTTCAAGGATTAAAAATAGCTGTTAATAAAAATTATGACGTCCACTGCAGTGTTTACACAGCGTCTCTCAAACATGTGAAGGCTGATAATTTAACAGGAGATGTTTGATGCTTCGATATTTCCTTTTTTCACCGCTATTGTATAGCAAAAGGAGACAAATAAAACAATTTTGTTCCATTAGTTAAAGTTTTCTAGCTTATCTGGGACTTGGGGACATGCGTGCTTTGAGAAGAGATGTCGCACACCAAACACTGAATTTTACTCTCCACAAGACAAGCAAGAAAAGCGACAAAATAAATAAAGAAGATTGGAATAGGAATATTATTGTTGCGTTGCTTTCAATGATGCGCCAAGTTTTTAATTTGGATTTTCATCTTGAAATAATTTGTTTATGTGGCATTTTGCAGCCCAATTAGCTATTGTCTTCTTCAAGCATCGTGAAAAGTTCTTGATCACACGGCTTAAATACCTCAAAAGCTCTCAAGCTTGAAGGGCCTGTTTTGTTAGAAAGGAAGAAATATCTTATTAGCGATGGATTGAATGAAAACAAATCACATATGTAATGATTCTAGTTTGTGTGAAAATCACAGACATTGATAACAGCTGGAATGAGAGAAGTAAACATCAGCTTGCCGTTCTTGTCAATTGTCTTTTTTGGCGTTGATAAAATAAAATTTCACCCTACCGCATTATTTGAAAGCGTTATTTCTTGTAATATTGTTTTATTTGAAACTGCAGAACATATTTTCACAAATAAATGAATGAATTAAGCAAAATGGTAAGTAACGATAATGATCAATTCTATGATCTTGATCCAGTACAAAAGAATTAGAAACTCTCCGGTGTTGTCTGTTGACTTTAACGCAGCCCCGTTTGAAAGCCACATTACCTTTATAAGCTGATTTATCACAATGCAAATCATTGTATTTGAGGTTGAATGACTCAAAATAAAATGGTATGTATCACTATGTAACCACCGCAATATTCAGCCAGTATGAAAGAAATAGAACATGTCTGCTCCTTGAAGACAAATGACACTCCTTCTGAATGTGGTCGTTAGAAAAGGTTGTTAACCTCCTTTCACAAAGCAACAAAAGAAGCAAACAATAACCAAGCTCATACATACTAATGTGTTTACTTTTAAAAACACGCTAAAACGCAAAGTCAAAATGCAGTCTAACACAGCAAAACACATGCCTTTACCCCTTCCCATTGTTAATGCATTAGTAATGCAAATTTTGGTTTGCTTATAAGTTTTGAGTGGTACTGTACAGTTTGTACCTCCATGTTGAAATTATTTTTTATCCTGTAGTATCAAGTATTCAAATGACAACCAAAATTCGAGGACTACTGGTGAAAATTCAACATTTGACTTTCATGGATTCCTTTTATAAGACTTTTAAAGGCTTGTGCAAACCATGCCTCATTTCACAAAACTTCAAAACAATCTGTCTCTCTTAACAAAGTCCCCTGTTTTTACCCCTGTACAAGATATCAGAGAAAAAATCGTTCCTCAATCACCCCACTTCTAAGAGAAACTATCCATTCAAACCTCCATACCAGTACCAATAAAGAATTGCATAAACAGGCCCTCCTCCCAGGGGTTATGTACATAACACCACAATTACTAATAGGCCAATGCTCTTTAAGGCCAACATAACTTTAATAAGGCTAACACCTACAGCCGATACCAAAGACATTTGCCTTAGAAAGATCACGATTACCTGTACACTGAGATCTGTAACTTGTAATTAACTATTGAATCAATTGTGTCAATGAAGTAATGTTCTTTCTTTACTGTTAATAACAATATATAAATACATAAACCAATTAACTTACTCAAATTGATTACATACATGTAGTTGTACTTTACCTAAATTGCACATAAAGTAAATCAAAGTATGTTCACAATCACATTCTCACCACTAGTGTACACTACTTTGCAGAAAATGTTTGTATGAATTTTTTTCTTTTGAACTTTATTATGACAAGACTTTTCTTTCCTGGCAGTGTAATTATCAGGTGGTGGAGTCTTCGTATATCCTCCAGGTTTGCAAATATATATCTGGACAGTAAGAAACAGTATACTGACTAATGAACTGTCAGAGAATCTACCACAAGTTACTCACCAGGCAGTTGGTGAAATGGTGAATTAGTTGGTTCTTGAGTAGGAAATGTGGTATTTTCAGGCCGTGTGTATTCAGGCAATGGTGGGCGTTCTCTGGGTAGTTCTGTTGTTTGACGCGGAACAAGGACAGGTGGAAGTACTGAAACACACAGAGCAGACATGTACATCACAATGGGTTATTCTAGAAAAAATACACACCCCCCAATGGATGGCAAACTGGAAATTCTCGCAGGAGGGGGGAGGGGGTTGATGGCTCAGGAAATCCGGGCAGGAGGGGAGGATCTGAACCTAAAAATTCTTCCTCAGGAGTCTTTTTCAACTTTAACCTCGCTTGAACTTTGCAATGGGAAATCTTGTAGTCTTTCAGTTTATAGTGTTCTTGCCTCATATGCTTTAAGTTTACCTTTGTAGGTCCTGTTAATCATGAAGAACCAGTGCGATAAATGGATAACAACAGCTTTACGACCGGATAAAACAACGTCGACTGAGCACGCAACGCCTGGAACATTTTTACAGTACCCAGGCCACCCGCGCCTGTACTTTGTAACATCCCCAAAAATGTGAAGAAAAGACTAGGTGAGTCAGTTGTACTTTTCTGTTTTATTCAGGCAACCCAAGAACTCGTTTTGCTGGCTAACATGCGTATGCACAATTTGTGTAGAATTTATTTCCTACCCCTTATGATGTGTAACCGTAAAATTGTGGATACGATACCGCCATGCAAAATAACTAGATCAGCCGAAACAATTAGTTTTCTTGTGGAATCCAGGTTGTCCAAAATTATGCTCATGGTAAATGCCGCTATATACCCCAATATTAAGTTCTTTAATTATTTCACATTGAAGATTCCTCGTTGAATCTACAAGAGTTTCAAGCAGTTTTATCTAGGCTACTTCCACTTTATTATCCATGCCTTATGATCCATATGGTAAAAGACAAGTTTATGGAAGCCAGAACGTGGGCATTACACATAAAAACTTGAGTGCTTGAAAGAAAGGCAAGAGTTCCAGTTGACCTACAGACCCATCAAGGTAATGGGGAAATTTAAAATTAGTCTAGTTCAAAAAGCTTTCTTAAATGTCACACTAACAGTCCTAACAACGGGGACTCGATCTTGTAAACACGTGCCAATGTAGGCCGTCTTGTCACAGAAAACTGAAATTATAGTTTTTATTTATAATCGCCTTAAGGACTTTTTCGTTATAATTTTTCTTACATTTACATAATTTTTAAGACTTACGAATTTCTTATCTTGTACATTTGTTGTGGTACAGAAAAAGGCAAATGGCATTTTAGAGGAGAGTGTGAGATCACTCAAATGTTAAACACGATCATTTGAATATTCTGATTTAAAAAATGTTGAAATTTAAACCTCAAAATTTGCAATATTCGCCGAGCTTTTAAAATTATAATTAACAGGGATCTTTTGGATGAAATGTTACGTCTTTTCTATTGCCTGTTGTTTCCAGTTAGGGCCTTTAAAAAAAATGGAAATTCAGGCGGGAGGAGGGGTCCTTGAGCTTGGAAATCCGGGCAGGAGGGAGGTTCTAGCGGTCTGGGAAATCCAGTCAGAAGGGGGGCTCAGAAATGCTTGCCATCCATCGGGGGGAGGGGGNGGGGGGGGGGGGGGGGGGGTGTATTTTTTCTGGAGTAACCTAATAGAATAATATAAGTGCCAGGGCTTGACAAAAACATAAATTTCAGTTTGTCCTCGAGACAGGTAGCTCTCAAATTTTGCTTGCGCTGGCAAAGTCTTAGTTCACTCTTTTAATGATATTTTTGGTGCACAACTTGCCTGACCCTTTGCCCACTGGGCAAGTGAGAATGAAAATTTACTTGCCCAGAAGGGGTCTACTTGTCCGGGACAATGGGACAACACTTTTTTCAAGCCCTGTATATGTACAATAATTACATTACTAGAATAATTCTTCTAATGAGAGCTTTGCATTCTCCAACATATTGGTTGGGTGCTGTGAATAAAATTGCAAGGCATTATCACTTATGTGTGTGTATACAAGTACAATGTAAGTCACAAAGTCACTGATTAAATAGTGTGATGACTTCTTTATTACACAAAATTCAAAAACCTTCAATTCATTTTTTCAAGGCAAGCACTGAGCTATTTCTATAGATCAATGTACATGGCATATTTGGTCACTGGATTTCTGGCCCTGAAATCATGTTTATATTTAATTTTCACCTTTTTGCATCTAGCTCTTATAACTTGACTGAAAGATCCATAAGTAAAGGGTATCTGTATGGAAAATTAGGTTTGCATCAAACAAAACTGTTCAGATATTTCAGATGATCAACTTTGCATTTCACTTCAGCTATGATAGATTTCATACAAGCATCATGTATACATGTGTAGTTCAGTCTTGGATGGCCTTCCCAATGTTTTGATCCAATTGTCCAAAAAAAAAAAAAAGAGGTCATGGCCAAAAAAACACTTCATTTATTTATGCTGTTTGCCCCAAGGGAAATACAATGAAAAACATATTAATTTAACCTTCATAGACTTTCTGAAAGCTGTTTAAAACGTTCTCATTGCAGGAAAAAATGCACATGTAATGTACACAAACTCTTCAAATTATCTCTTGTAGATGTCTTTTTGCAAAAACGATACATCTACCTGTAGGATATCTCCCAATACATGCAAGACAGGTACACACACTTTATATAAAGTAGTCAACTATTAGCTAGGAAAAAAGAACTTTAAATAAATACATGTAATGTATTCTACCATATTCAAAGCAAAATTCTTTTTTGTTAAATTTACGCAAGCTAATTGTAGGTAGTTTAAAAGGTTCCTCAGCTAATGCAATTCTCTTATTTACAAGAAAAAACATCTTATGCATACATGAACACTGAAAAGTTCCAGCCAGTATGTACTTCGTGGGTGAATGTTAAAAGCTGAGTGAGTCATACATAACTTGCCTCTGAACCAAATTTGGTTTCTCGCTTGATGTACAAAACTCTCAAGCGAGTAAAGTGCAATTCAAGTGAGAAAGGTAAGGTACATTTGGTTCAACAACAGTTTATGCATGGCTTAGTTCATTTACGACATTCTCTCACAAAGAATAAATGTAACAAGACTTGATGTTGCTATGGAATTATCTAGCAAACACAACAAAAGGTGAATGAACCTCACCCCAATTAACACTATCTTTAAAAACTTCCTATCTTCAACTTCTGCTGATAACAGTAAAAAACAATTCACTTCTTACACCAACGTGAGTTTGTTTGCCAAAATTTTACATGCATGTTGTGTGGACAACATCTTGCCGACGACTTCCACAAAAATACAAGAAAGGTCAAGGAAAACAGTTTACACAGACATAAAGCTTTAACAAAACCAAGCATTTGAAAACACCTTTGAAGATAAAACAAAGATACCTTATATTGGACAGTTAAATCTAACAGATTCAAACGATAACAATGAATTCCAAAGGTAAAAAATACATCAGGTAAAGTTACAAGAGGTTCTCTAGCTTGAACACAGGATTTTCAAAACTAGCTCAAGTAAGACTCCACCATCAATGAATAAGCCATCCATCACTAACTTCATATTCTCATAAATTTGTAAATAAAAGTTGATGTTAAAATTAAGATCACTGCTCTCCGTGTGCGAGTCAAGTAATGCGTTCAGTAGAGTTCTGTGGTTTGACAAAAATCAAACGATACGTGAATAAAATCTGCAATTGATCGTTGATGTTTATATCAGATAACAAGGAAAGTATGGTAACTCCCTTCCGGAGGCAAGCCCAAACCTTTTGTATTTGATTCGCCGTCATAAATTGCTTCTTACAACGTTCGAAACTTGTGTACCGATTCCCACTGTTTAATTATATATCTTCGGAGCAAAATTTGGTATTTGTGTAACAAAAACTTGTTTTCATGCAGCTCTTTCATGTATATATAAAATACAAGCGGAAATTGACGAAAATAGATTTTAGCACGCCTAACATACCGAAAACAAGAAATGAACTTCTAAAGTCAACAACAATCACTCACAGCCAGAATGCTTTAATTAATGTGGGGTATTTTCTGATGTTATGGATGAAGGAAAGATTCGAGAAAGAGATGAACAGCATTTAAATGGATTCTTCGTTCTGGCCGCTTCAAAATCTTCGCTTGCGAAGCTTCCAAGCAAATTCGTGAAACATACATGTATACACTAGGAACTCGTGACAAATAAAGTCGGTAATAAATTTTTCAACGACTTTAAAATCAATATAAAACTTTAGTGAAACAATGTGTCATTGACCACTGTCAAACTGGTGCAAAAAGTACTTGAAAGTTCGCTTAGCGTGATGTTCGAATTGTCTACGCTAACATAAACAGAAGCGTTTGTCAAACAAAATCGACTAAATCGCGCAGTTAAGCTCCCCCAAAATTATTTATTTTAAACGAGGCTCTAGGAAGACAAGTTTAATCGATTTGTTTTCTACGGTTTCAGAGAAGAAATAGAGACTGGAATTGTATCTACGTGATGGAAATAATGGCAAATCTGAACCGCGGCAATATTGATAATTGCTTTCATCACATCCACACATCGCATAAAACTGGATCGACCGAACACAATGTTGTAGTATTCCTAAACGAATGACAAATGCATGTTTTGAAAACGGGCAAAAAGACACCGAGCACTGCCTCCAGCGGCAAGTCACACTATCTACTCCTGCAAAACCCTGACTGGCTTTGCTTCACGGTTAGTTACACAAATTTACCCTCGAAAGCCTTGGAAAATCAAGGCACTGTTTTGAAAATGGAAATTAACCGATCAGATCGGATCAAAGACTCCATCTATAAAGCAACAATTTAATATTGGACATCAAAAACAGCTGATACTGTGAATCGACCAAAAACTATTCCGGAACTCACTTTCTTCTCTTGATATGAACTTGCAGGTTTTCAGACACGTCCAAGGATCCAAATACTAAGACACAACGGCCGATTAACGCTCTACGGTGACTAACAAACTCAAGGACGAACGAATATTAAGTTCTCGCTGTACTGGGGATTTCTCTTGGACCTTTCATTCCACTCGGATTGCATTTCTCAAGTTAGAAAAATGCACATTACCTTGCTTACAATCTGGCAATTATCGAACACATGCTCGAGCGTTTAATCAAGAGCTAAGAACATACGTATCCTCTTCACAACTTAGGCATTACAAGGATATGATGTTGTACGTTAGCTCGTTATCCCTGCTGGTTTAATGTAGGCAGAATAGAATTCTGACCTAAGTAAACTATTCAGACATCCTGACATCTAGAACGATCGCCGAGACACACGACTAGTGTGCAAAGTAATGTTACACGCGCGCTTAGATCAAAACAAAACCCGATAGACTAATTTGCGATGCGGAGCGAACACAAAGCGAAAAACCTCTACGACCTCCACGATGCATACTTTGCGCAGAGAATAATTACTCAAAACAAATTTACCTGGGGTCTCCACTCGCTGGTAGTGAAAAGGATTCACACAAACTTCATCCTTCTTCAAGCTAAAGGCATAGTCACAGGACTCGATAGGTCGCAGTTCATGATGGCTTTGCAAGTCGGGCCAACGCCATAACCGACAGTAAATCACATGCGGTAAGCCTTTACGATGCGACACTTGCAAACGGCCATCTAAACTGCGAGGTATTGTGACACACTTTGTGGGAATACTTGGGTTGGTGATCGCTCTTTCCAGCTCCTCGAGGCCTCCAGTTTTCTTCAATTTCTTCACTAAACTCTTCACGGCTTTCTCGGCCCATTTATCATCGTCATCCGTACTTCTTTTCCAGCCCAGCAGCCTTTTAACTATGGGCGGCGTGAAAGGAAGAAGCGAAGTCATTTTACGACCACACTCTGGCTAGTCCAGATCCCTTTTCTTTCGATGCAAGCCACTCTATACCACGTTTATATCCAAGTGCAACTCGCTTTTTGCGCTCTAAATCTCCCTTACCTTTTTCCTTGCATAGGATCGAGTCCATTTCCTTGACTGACAGGTGAGGTATTCCCATCACCTTTCCGTGGGAGGTACATACAGCACCAGCCAATCACTGTTCGTCCTGTATTGACGTCACATGCTATTGACAGTGACACAACGCTGCGGTCGATATACCCAGAGTTCCTGTTGGTCGGGGAGCTTGGTCAAACGCGCAGGCTCGAACCTTGCATCAGAGAGGAGAGGCTGCTTAAACTCTTCTGGAATAAGTCGACCGCAGTCTCTTATTCTCTCTTCTTCTAAATTTACTAGTAGTTTCACTCGCTTCAAAGAAGAAACTGTTTCTGGAGGCTAAATTTAGCCATCGTCAGGAGCCCATGGGCTCGTGCCGGCCATATGTATATGTGCAAACATCTTTGCCACCCCCACGGCCCTCCACAGGGTGGAGAACTGTTAGGTGGGTGGCTATATGTAGGTTAATGAAATGAGTCTCAAAGCAAATTTGATTAAATTGTCATAAATGTTATTACAAGTTACGCGTAACCAACACACTGAAAACACTTCGGGTTGATATTTAACCACCCACCGATAGAGTGGGTTTACGGTGCCCTATCATGATCAGTTGCGTCTCTATCACTTAGGGAGTTTTGTAGCCAATCAATTTACTTCATTTCTAAACGCTCTAATTCTGAAACAACTAGTCCTGAAGGTCTTGCTGATTTCTGTTTTAGTAATGCACTGATATTCGATTTTAGGACAAGAAATCAGATTAAAGATTTCAAACCAGAAATTAAACATTAAAAATCAAACTTCAGCAACATTATTTTATTAAAATTAATAAGCTTGTAAGTAGGGGATATTAGACGGAGGTGAGAGATATGAATTTTATATCCTAGTGGGAAGAACAATATCTGACGAGTGAGCGTAGTGTACAAGCGAGAGTGACATAAAATTCATATTTTTGAGCCAACCCGTAATGTTCCTTTTTATTTCATTATAAGCAGTATTGAGACCAAATATCCGATATTGCCAATTTTATAATGTTTTCTGTATAATCGAGTTTTATAAATACCCAGGGGGTGCTCCCAGAAAAATTGGGTGGGGGTGTGCGGCCCGCTTCCCAAAACCCTTACCTTATTTATGACCAAAATCTGCGATATTCC